TCATCTTTCACACTTTTTTTTATTTTCATCAGAATATTGATCATGTGAATTGTCATTGTAGAAAAAACAAATGTCTGACGATAAAGAGCATATGGATACAAATAATAAAAACAAGAAAGGTGGTACAAAACGGAATTTTATAATGATTTGTTTTGCTTATACCTGTGTAACCACATCATTAAATGCAGTTGTTAATTTACAATCAAGTCTCAATACTGATAAAGATGTTGGTCTTAATTCGGTAGCAATTATGCATGGCGCTTCCGTACTTACATGTATTTTCTTAACAACTTCGATAGGACATATTTTTGGTTACAAATGGTCGATTATTGGTGGACAATTTGGTATATTGTTATATGTTGCATCTAATATGTATCCTAAACAATGGCTAATGTATTCAAGTAAGTAAAAAAATAATTTCAATTGAAATATTCTGATAAATATTCTTTTTTAGCTGCAATCATAAGTGGAAGTTTTCGAGCTTGTATGTCCATGGCTCAAAATTCTTACGTGGCTATACTTGCAAATGATGAAAGTGAGAATGATGATGCTGAGATAAAAACTAGAAAATATTTTGGTATTTTCTTTACTGCATATCAATCAGGTTATTTTGATATTATATTATATAATTTAAGCATATTTTTACACTGATATTACTTATTACAGCTCAAATTCGGGGTAATCTCATATCATATTTAGTCTTACGAAATACTCCAAAAACTACAAATACTAATTTTACACAATGTGGAGCTAATTACTTAACAAGTGAACATCAAATACAAGATGATAATCATCAACTTATATCTCAGAAAACGGTAGATTATCAATAAAAAAATGATTTATATCATGCTTGTTCTTTAGATGTGCATTCTTTATAGTATATTTAGTGGTATTATCTTTGTATCGATAGTGCTGACCATCATTTTTCTTATTCAAAGACGTGACAATAAAAGTGATTATAAATATGATATATATTTGATATGATCAATTAAGATATTGTTTTATTATAGAAGAGGATGGTTCTCAGGGATTATTACGAAAATCACTTAAGCATACACTGTCAACACTGAAAACTGCTATAAATCCAAATCATCTTCTACTCATACCACTTGGATTTTGGTCAGTTTCTGCAGACACATTCTTTGTGGGAGCTTTTTCAAGTGTAAGCTGATGTAAATTTTAGACTAAAAAATAAGGAAATCTGAATCAATTTCATTTTTTTATAAGTAACTCCACATACACAAAATCATCTGATCACCTCTTTCATTCGAAATACAATTGAGTGAATATTGATTTGAGAAATCTATAAAATAATAAAACAAGTTTCTTATAATAATAGATCAGAGATAGAAATATAATTCTTAGAGTACACATGAAAATCTTCGCTTGTTTCTTTTCTACTCATGTGTCATATTTCTGTTAAATTCAAACTTTCTTTTCCGTAGAGCTTTACGACATGTACAATTGGTGTTCAATATGTTGGTATGTATCAATGACATTTTATCTCATATCGAATAATAATATTAATTTTAGGTCTAATTATGACAATATATGGCATTACAGCTACTATCTCTTCGATCGTTGTAACTTATACAGTCAAATTTAAATATAGTCGACGAATATGCTTTATAATCGCAGCATTGTTAAGCTACACAATATTCACTGTTATGCTTGTCTGGAAGCCAACAGTCTCACAAACATATGTATTATTTATCCTTCCATTTTTATCAAGTATTTCAGATGGACTCACAGAACCATTTGTAACAGGTCTGACATAAGATTTCTTTTGATAACGTCAATATTTGAGAGACATACTCAAGATTTCAACATGCAACTTATTCATCCATAAGTCATACAATTCATATATTTACAAAATCGACGAAAGTTTTTCTGAAAATATATTGGAAAAATTGTTGTTTTACACATCTCTAACATTTCTTTGATGGTAGAAAAATTCTTCATAAAGCACACAAAACACTCACAGATGAATCTAAGACTCTTCTCATTCAAACACTAATATTTTGTTATTTTTTTTAGCTTTGTACAGTTCGATGTTACCAAACAAGATAACAGAGGCTTATTCATTGCTAGCATGTGCTCAGAATGTTGGAGCTGCCATCGTTTTTCTTTATATATCCAAAGTGCGTGTTCGCACACAAATTATCCTTGAAATTGTTTATCTCACATTAGCTATGGCATCTTATATCATTATTGCAATTAAACAGCACAGGACTTCAACAAATGATGATAAACACACTTACGTTCTTAGCAAGATAGTAACGGTTCCTTCGAAAAATGCAGTAGTATCAGATCGATTTTGAAATTTTCGTTGAATATATCGTTATACTATGAAAATAAAAAACATCTTTATATTTATTAAACTATTGTTTTTTTCTTAGTTGATATTGATAACAAAACAAAATATGTAGATTTCAACAAAGTATATAAATGAAAGGAATATATTGCAACATGAATATTAATAAGGATAAAAATATGATCAGAAGCGTTCAGAAGCATCTGTTTCATAAAATCGAATCGATACAAATATACATTGAATATTTTATGGGGTGAAATATTTTACATCATGTCTAAAAAATTGACAATTTTTACATTGATATTCGATTCGATTAGTTGGCGTTTTGTTAATAATATACACATTGTATACTTACAAATGTTTAATGAATTTTTTAAGATGGGGAACAACATAAGTTTGAAGCTATTCAGAAAACCTACTGTCTTAAAAACTAACAGAATTGAAATCAATAATTTTACTGATAACAAGTTTCTCATATACTCATACATTATCGATGTTTGATCTTCTTTTTCAAATAGTCTACAGAATAAAAAATACGCTGGGTGTAGGTGATAGTGTAGTTCTCAAAGTCATGAGGAGCCACCCATGTCACACTCACCCACACTCTCAAAGTTTTATCATTAATAAAACCACTTCAATTTTGAATCAAATCACCATTATACCATTGTTGAGCACGAATATTCTTTATAAAACTATTTTCCAACCAATTTCAATAATAATTGCTTTAATACGAAAATGATTCATTATGAAAAATAGAAACAAACTTTTGTATAAGCTGATTTAATTTGTCTTGAATTTAAAAAATATTTTTGTAAATGATTAACTTGATTAAATGAACTTTAATCATGGGTGTGGGTGTCACATCATTATTAATCTATGCTCACATCCTCAAAATATTTCAAAAATTAAGCAATAGTAAAATCGAAATCAAATAATGACATCACTCAAACTACGTATTTAACAGATATATTACGTCAAATATAGAGCCAACAACACAAACCTACATTGATCTCTTCGTAGTCATCCCTCACTTCATTTTTTTCTCTTTACCCTTACGTACAGTACACCGTACAATTTTTTTAATGTTTGTAACATCTTTCCATCAATGAAAAAGGGTAATTTACAAAAACAAAAATTCTGATAAAATCTATTTATCCTCAAAATTATCGAATGCCTATAGAAATGGTATAGACATATTTTTTTTGACGTATGGAAACAGTTATCCCAAATAATATCAATTTTTTAATGTACTTTCTACACTTCATATGTGATAAGAAATTGTATGAGGTTGCTGAATATATCACAATAATATACTTTTCTTAATGTGAAAATATAAACTAAATTTGAAGAGAAAGAATTTATTATTACATTGTATTCTTATTAACCTAATCTGTTAAATATGAATTAAATTGAAATGAAAACAAATCATTAAATATAATAGAATTAGTTATAAAAAATATTTCTGACAACACACGGTGTCAGTGTATTTTTTCTCCTAACTGAATACAAAATAAAAACAAAATATTTTATCCAAATAAGTGTACTGTTGTCTTTGTCTTTGTCAGGAAACTTTGCGTTTCCTTCGTAAACTCATGACTTTCATGGTTGTTTTTAAGTGTCGAGAATATCATTAAATTTTATCTGAAACAGTTTGCTTTTACATTTTTTTTTGCGGAGTTTCAGTATCATGAGCACTTATAATAGTACATGACATATGATATCAGTTTATCCACAAATTATTTTTGAAAAAAAGGAAGTAAACACATTGCTTTTATATATTAATCATTTTTAATGTTGTGTTTGTTACAATGGCTTCAACAAAAAGATGTTCGAAAGTCTTTCATTAGTTTGATTTATTGAAAGTCAATTTTTTTCATCTTTTATAATGGAGAAAAATAGAGACAAGACTCTTGACTTATCGAACAAGAACGTAGAATGAATGCCTACTAGTATTGTTATCATTAAATTTATTGAAGTCATTTCGTTTACATTCGATATTTTCTAATGTATATGAATATCAACGAACGTTTTTGATTTCGAAATTTAAATATTTCCCATATCAGCCTAAACTTGTAATATAAGAAACTACCTCTGAACTGTGAATGATGAATATAATCATTTGAAATTTGTCTATTACAAACACAAAGACTTGATTGTATAATTTGTTATTTTAAAAAGAAAACTTACTTTCCGATATATATATATATACTTAGGTATGAAAATAAAAATTCTTTTCATGTACACACAAATAATAGAATAAAAGAAAGTGAACTTTCTTTCGTATTGGAAACAATAGGAAAACAAACGTAACTCGATCATTGAGTGTATCAATGCTAATTCTTTCGTTTTTCTATAATTAATATTATAAAATATATGAAATCTGTCATCTTATTTTACAAATCTAATGACATGTGTGTTTATCATAGAACAACATAACTCTGATGTGTTGGATTACACAAGTGAATAGAAAAAAAAATATATTTACTAAATGTTTTATAATAAGTGAAATAAACTATTGTTCAAAGTTTGAGATGGATCTGTTTAAATTACTTGAATAAGTTTTTGAGATCGATTGAGACAAATTCTTCTCACTAATTAATTTATTTATTGTAGAAATATTCATAAGAATGTATTTGTTTTTTTTATAGAAAAAAAACACTTTCCTGATATTTATCAATGTTGTTTTATTATAAATATTTGAATATTTTCTTTTTCATGACTTACTCATTTTATATAATTTTCTTATCTTCCATCCTACGTATTTTATGTTCATTGTTATTTTTCAGACAATCTTCTCTTTCCATATGTTATTTTATCGTCAGAAATGAAGATAGATATTATATGATATGAATATTACTTTGAGAAAACTGAAAATCTTTAGATGACAATTTTATTTTCTATATCATCTGTATTTCTAGATATTTCATTATAAAAATATTGAAATAGTTTTACATTTGCACAAAATATCAACTATGGATCGGGTTGAAATAGAGGTTTGTCATTTAATTTATTTGTAAAAATAAAATGAAATAATTTTTATTTTAACTAATAATTTTAGCCTGAACAAATTAACGTGAATTTAGAACAACCATCAGCTAATCAATCAGGATTATTGTATGTATATGATATATTGTTATAAGAAATAATAAAAAGAACTGTCTATTTCAGACAGAAATATTGTCAAAATAGAAAATTAATATGGATCATTATTTCCAGTATTATTGTTGTCGTTCTTGTTTTGATTATAATTATTCCAGTAGTTATTATCAAAACAAAACCATCAACAACAATCATAACAACAACAATGGTGACAACAGAAATAGCAACAAAAGAAACTACGACAATAAAGAACACACAAACAACAGAAGGTAGGCTTATGAAGAAAATAATATTTTTTTATAATATTTTGTATCTATTCAATACTTCATATGAAAGAACAATAAGAATTGAGTAAAACTGTATGATAATATTATTCTGAAATCAATTATGTACATGTGATTTGATAAATAGAAAAACTAGTGTATTTTGAGTTGAACAATTTGCTCTTTTAAAAGACACATTATCGTATTTTATGCAATGTTTCATTCAAATGTTACAGTGCTTTCCTGATTGTAATGGAAAAGTAACTTCGATTAATGTCTTTGTAATTGTCAAGATATTGTAACAACTGAAGAAAATATTATAGAGACGACAGTGACATTGTTGTGAATGAAAATGTAAAGTTCTGTCTTCTTTTCATTCGACAATACCTTCAGTTCTCTCAGAATTAATTAAAAAATGTATAGATTCAAAATATTTGCATCATTTTCTTTCATTTTAATCAGATCATTTTTTCTCGACTTTTAGAACAAATTAAATCAAAATATAAACAGTGGAAACAGAGTGGGATCACGATTGCCGGAGGAAAGCAGAGGGGAGATGGATTAAACCAGCTCAATGAGCCTCACGGTATTTTAATTGATGACAGCGCTATTATTATTGCAGATTATGATGAGGAACGCATTCTTGAATGGAAATTTAATGCGAACGCTAGTGAAATCATTGCAGGTGGGAATGGATATGGAAATAAAATTAATCAATTGGCTTGTCCTATAGATGTAATTCTGGATAAACAAAATGATTCTTTGATCATTTGCGATCGGGATAATAAACGAGTAATGCGATCGTTTCGTAAGAATCAGACAGATCCACAAATTTTCATTGCTAACATCTGGTGTTATGGTTTGGCAATGGATAATAAGGGATCTATTTATGTTACTGATTCGGATATGCATGCAGTAAGACGATGGAAAGAAGGAGACATAAATGGAACAGTAGTTGCAGGTGGACATGGCAAAGGAGATCAGCTCAATCAATTATTTTACCCTAGTTATATATTTGTCGATAAAGATTATTCTCTTTATATTTCAGATAGTTCCAATCATCGCGTGGTGAAATGGAAAAACGGTGCGAAAGAAGGAATTGTGGTAGCTGGTGAAAGTAAGCCAGGGAATAGTCTCATGCAGTTCTCGTCTCCTCGAGGAGTGTTTGTTGATGATTTGGGTTTCATCTATGTCGCAGATTACCACAATCATCGTATAATGCGTTGGTGTGAAGGAGATAAACAAGGTTCAATCGTTGTAGATGAAAAAGACCAAGAAGAAGGATCCGATCAACTGTGGGGTCCCGTAGATTTCGCATTTGATGCTGAAGAAAATCTATACGTTAGCGATTCTGGAAATCATCGAATTCAAAAATTTGAACTCTGCTTTAATAAAACAATCTGTTAAATTCGAAATAAGCTTTGTACAACTGAGTATTTTTTATTTTGACAAAACATGATTTACAAAATAAAATAATTTATGAAAATAAACAATGAACGAATTTCAATTTAGCCTAAGAGATATTTTTTCGAAGAATCCATTGTCACCGGTGAAAGCTGATCAATATCGATAAAATTTTGATAACTCCTCTCTCGTTCCTTCTACTAAATGTTTGTTTTGTGATAAAATATAGTGTCAAAATGAAGATTTGAGTTAAATGTGGAAGATTGAAGATGAAGACATTAATGAGTTATTATTCATTTTCATCCGCTTTTATTGACATCTACAAGTCGAATAATCTCAACATAGTTTTTCTCATCAGTGATAGACGATCCATACATTCGCTTATAAACTCAATAAACAACTGTCCATCGATAGAGACATTTCGAAGTGCCAATGACGATAGTATTGATGCTTTAATTAAAAGGTTAATTGTGTTTATCATTTGATTCTTCAACCTTTAGGCTGTGGACGTGGGTGAAGACATGTATCATACGCACCCACACCCATACTCACCCTCAGGAATGAAAATAGTTTGCAAACTAACGTAAGTATCATAAAAATTTGAATGACTGCACATATTTTTTGTATTTTTTTACGAGTTTTATTTAAAAGCAAAGAAGATGCACCACTACTAAGCGAAGAAAAAAATAGTCGTCTAATCCAAAGTTTTGTCATTTAATTTCTTGATGATAATTCATAATTTGGATTTAAACGACGTTGAAATGCTCTCCATTTTTGTTTCATCATTATCTCGAATTCTTTCTTGTATATTTCTGATGTTAATACAAAAATGAAAAAATGAAGTATCGGTGGAATAAATGAAACGAAGTAACCAGCTAAGAACAACTTGTATTCTTTCGCTGATTTCATACAATTAGGTAAAAAGGAAATAACCAGACGAGGAACAGCCAAGATAACCAATAAAATTGAACTAAGAATGAGATGTTTGTGTTGACTAAGTTGTTTTCTTAATTGTTGTTTAAAAGTGACTTCGTGCTGCACAGCTGAACGTTGTCTTGCAGTGAGAAAAATAATACCAATGGCCAAGATAAAATTGAGGGAAAAAGGGATAAGAAAATGAAAGATATTGATAAATCTATCATAAATTTCGAGTTGAGGGGTAAGACGAAGTATGCACCACGTTCTTCCTTCTTCGGTATCATCGATTAGACGACGATGCATTGGGTCATGAACAATAGATGCAGCAGTTGATAGAAGAATGATCCATACAGTTCGTGTTGCATACTGTTTGCTGATTGCCTTGTTAAAACGGACACCTAAGAAAATAACAAGAAATCGTTCGACTGTTACACAAGCATGTAACCAATCATTAATGGCTAATAAGAATCGAAGTAGATATTCAATTGAATGACAATTGAACCAGAGAAAAGATCGACTAGTAATAATGTTCATTTGAGAAAGAATAAGAAACCATAATTTAATATTTAAAAAAATTAGTATTAAGATTGATGTTATTGATGAA